GGCATCTACAAGTGATTTCACTTGCAAGGGTTTCACTTTTTTCTGACATCGGTCCTCTTTTTTCTGACAGCGGGCCTTTTTTTCAGCAGTGGTTCCATTTTTTTTGACAGTGCTCGCGTTTTTTCTGACAGCGCTCATCTCTTTTCTGACGGTGCTCGTCTCTTGTCCACCGTCTCTCTGAAACTTCACCGTCTTTCCCCGTCGGCCGCGAACTGTATGGTCTTTCCTCGTTGGCTGTGAACTGTACCCCCAAAATCCCGCGCCCGAGAAAGCAATGCGGCGGAGAACTAGGGTCCTAGACACCTCCCAAACTTTGGTCCTAAACACCTTAACCTCATAAACCCTAAACCCTAAACCCGACTTACACCCAGTCAGGCTTTTGATATAATAGAAACCAGAAAGTTGGGACATAATCATCCTGATGCCCTTAAGGTAACTGAGTGCCCAATAAGCCAGGAAAATAAAAAGGTTAAACTTTCAGATTGCTGCTAAACTATAAGAACCCAAAGCGTTTAAAGGTTGGGTATTGGACCCGTGTTCCTACTTTCTGGGATTCCCTGTAAGCCTGGGAACTTTATAAGCCTTGTAAGCATTCTAACCCTAAACCCTTAACCCTATACCCTGAACCCTAAACCCTATAAGCCCTAAACCCTATAAAATTCTAAACCCTATAAGCCCCAAGCCACACTTCAGCCTTTGAGCAGCAACAACATGCCAGCGGTCTGCGTCTGTCTTTAGACCGGGGCTGCAGGTTGCGGGGTTTAAGCTTTAGGGTTGTGACTCACAGGGCTTTTGGCTAAACTTGTCTCTACGCGGCAGCGTAACAAGAGACGTGGTACACTACTACGGGTTCGTATCTTGTTCGCACTCCCCCTAGCAAGTGACACGACCACACACCAATTAACCTCGCTGGAGCCGGTCGCGGGGATGCCAGCCTCTGGCAATGTAGGGTTTACCGTGTACGCTCTCCCCTTATAAGTAGATCGACTATGGGTATATGGGGATGCTATTATAATATACCCGAAGCCATGTTCTATCTACTTAAAGGGGCACTATAAGCTCACAGCAGCGCACTAGTGCACAGCATCCATACTTTTGGCAGACTTCGACAGTGGCTGTTGGCGTGCTTGTTGATTCCATAAGGAAGGCACGTCTGCGTCCGGAGCCCACTTCGAGATTCAAGGAGTTATTCCTATTCCTGCTCCAACATGCAATCCCTCAGGGATAGCACAGGTGAAACAGATTGTTCTCTCTGAGAACACCACGCAATCTGCGAACCTCCATATACACCCCTGCATTCCGTTCTTCCTCATCTTGCGCTCTACCAAGGGCCGCTTCAAGATCACCAACACGTGCACGAAGGTGTTGGACGAGCTTTCTATTGGATGCCTTGCGAGCTTTCCTAGGAGGGGACGCCGAGCCTGATGATGAACATGATGTTGCCAAGGATTCCGAAGGCTTCTGCGAGGCGTCTTTATCATCCTCCAGTGCCTTACAAGGTGATGAACTACATGTTCCACAACGGGGGCGCTGTAGCCATGTGTGAAGCCTCTGCTGAGCTTGCACTGACCAATCACCATTGTTACCCGTTCGCAGAGACAGGGTTGTCTGTATGTTTGCTAGCTGCGTCTGCAAAGATCTCAGGTTAACATCCTTCTTCGTAGCATGCACCTCTATGGCGCGACTGCGGATCTCATTCAAGAGCATTCGCGCGCATGGACCTTTCTGAGAAGATGTCACCACATGATCCGACTCATCTGCATGACGGGCACTTGAGGATGCCAGTCCCAGCTCCAGCACAACAGTTCCCTTTCGCCCGGCTTTAACATGGCCAGCGACAGGTAACATGTTCCCTTGATAACTACTTATGCCGCTGAAGGAGTTACACATGACTAAGTCCTAGTGTGTTTACTTAGCAACAAATGCAGCATAAGGAAGGCCAGTGACAGAACCCACTCATGTCTACCGAATGGATGTGACGGAGCTCCGATGCAAGTGGCAGCGGCTTCTGCACTACCATAGGAGTTTGCTCATTCAAAACATCGACCCCCCAGTCTTTATGATCTTAGGATGGCTAGTGTAACAAAGAACCCTTAAGAAAAAAGAGACCCTTGGAGAGCCAGTCCGGTCGCCCCAGTGCAGGACCTGCAGCAGACAGGTTTGTCTTTGCAGGGGTTGCGGTGTTGGAAAGCCAGGTGTGTACTATGTCTTAAGTACAGCTTCCAAGCATGTGGTATATGCGGCCCCGTGCAAATGCCTAGCAAAAAAACATTCTAGAACACGGCCTTCGTTCTAGAACGAAGGGGCGCTGTTCTAGAGCGGGGGTTGCTTCAAACAGGTAATTTTCAAGAGGCTCAATTTTTGGCGGTCTTGCGAGAATAGCCTCAAAATGAAAGGATTGAGGCCTCTCTGCATATTGAGATTTTGGGATCTTCCAAACCTCGAGAGGCCCCAATCTGTTGAAGGTTCCAGACTCAAAAGAATTGAGGCCTCTCAGCACTGTAGGACTCTGGGAGCTCCAAAACCTTGAGAAGCCTCAATGTTTTTGAGGTTTAAATGCAAAAATGCTGAGAAGCCCCAAAAAAACTCAAAAGACTCAATCTTTTGGATGTCTTGGGAGAATAGCCTCAAAATGAAAAAGATTGAGACCTCTCAGCATTTTGAGATTCTGGGAGGTTCCAAACCTCGAGAGGCCCCAATGTGTTTAAGGTTCCAGACTCAAGAAAATTGAGGCCTCTCAGCACTTCGGAACCTTGGAAGTTGCAAAAGACTGAGAGGCCCCAATGTTTTTGAGGTTTAAATGCAAAAACGCTGAGAGGCCCCAACAGACTCAAAAGACTCAATCTTTTGGAGGTCTTGGGAGAATAGCCTCAAAATCAAAAAGATTGAGACCTCTCAGCATTTTGAGATTCTGGGCTTAGGCAATTAAGCTTCCAACTCGCTGAGTTGCTGGAGAAAGATCTTCGAAAAATTCAGCATCCGCTGCGTAGAGGTCTAGATCTCTACACTGGACGCCTAAACATGCGCAACCTGACATTCAGCACTCCATGAGCGAGTGTGATGTTGGCGCCGGCAAACCCAGCGTGGATGTCATCAAGGTTGGGCCATGGATGATATGGTGTCATTATGCTTTGGGGTGCGACTTGGACTAGTCATCGAGGTCCGTTCGCATTGGTTGACAAGGATTTGTCAATCTCTTCGCCAAATCTCCATCGGATGAACTTCGTCAGATTTGCCTATCGCAGTAGAATGCATCGGATCGACTTGGTCAGATGTGACATGTTCATGCGAGTTGCTTGGAACATACGAATCACAAGGAAAACATAAACACGGGTTTAGGCTTCGGGGCTGAGAGTGTAAGGCCTAGGGCTTACCACTTCCCCTTTGCCCTCCGGTCCCAATGTCCTTGTTGGCGAAGGCACAATTGCGCCGCCGCCTGGGGCCCGTAACCCTGCGCGCTCAAAGGCGAAATGCAGCAGCGCACAATGGACATAAACGTACTTTCGAAAATTCAAGCACTTTTGCGGTAGCTATGCAAAAACTACGTTTTCGCAATAAAGGCAGAAATCAGGAGACCCACAAGAAGCACCTTCACCCCTCAAACACGAAGTGCATGTCAAAAAAGTAATATGAGGCAAAACGGGGTCGAAAAAACAACCATGGGAGCCAAAAAAAAGAGGGGCCCCGGTGATTGGCGACTCCGGTTTCTCACATATCTACAACATGCTTCCTCCTTTGGCGTTTCCTGTTCATCATATGTCCTAAACACGTCCCCTCGTTTAGTGATTCCGTCTTCACCATATATCTTAAACATGCCCACCACTACCACTACCACCACCAATCCCACTACCACTCCTACTACCGCTACCACTCCTGCTCCCACTACCACGACCACCACCACCACCACCACCACCACTGCCACTACCGCTATCACTACCACTACCCTTAAAGCCCGTAAAGCCGCCACTGTGCAAAAGCAGAGCGATGTCAGAAAGGAGATTGACACTGTCAGAACAGAGTGAGCCAATCCAGAACAAGCTGCACCCGCTGCCGAAGAAGAAGCATCCGCTGTCAAATGGAAGTTTTTCAATGTCGAAACAAAGACATGCCCCCACTAGGGTGCGTAGAACAAAGAACCACTGCTGAAAAAAAGGCCCGCTGTCAGAAAAAAGATGAACGATGTCACAAAAAAGGGGGTCCCAACCTATAAAGCCCCCCCAAAATCCCTCCGCATCCACTTCCGGCCTTCCCTTTCAGCAGCGCACCCAGGCCGCGAAGCTTGTGCACGGAACGCTTCCATCTCTCCTTGTCCCAATCACATCTTCATTCAATAGATATGTTCTGTACACTATACCATGCTCTATTCGACTACTGCATTAGATTGCAATCTACAGTATTCTGTTCCAATCATCGGCTTCAGTTTGTCGTTCTTACTGGGTTTGGGGCTCGAGGATCAGGATTCAGAGTTTAAGGTTCAGGGTTCGGGGTCTCTCCTGGTCCCAGTCACCGCTTCAAGGCTTGGGGCTTATAAAGTTTGCATAGGGTCTGGGGTTTAAGGTTCAGGGCTTAGTTTTGCTTGTTTTGCTTTATGGGTTGAAGGCCCCAGTCATCTTCGGAGATGAACATGTGGGGTTGCAACCCTAAACCCTAAACCCTAAACCCTCTTGCGGTGTTTTTGCTGGGGGCTCTACCAGGGTTCTTGACGGACTCTGCCCTGGGGGCCTTAGTAATTGCAATAATAATTAGAATAGGGTTTTGGGTTTTGGGATTCTTTTCGTGTAGTTTTAACATAACAAGAAGCAACTCCATGGAAGAATGTTGGTAATTCTTTGGGCGAAGCTAGGCTTCCATATTACACCGGTGAACCAAGAGTTCCCCTGAGAGTTTTAAGGCTTAGCGTTTGGGCTCAGGGTTTTCCTGAAGGATTAGAGTCGAGCTCTCAGGCGCAAATGCTCTTCGAAGTCGCGGTTTTTTGCAATGAAAGCTTGCGGAGGCGCACTTTTGCTGCCTTGGGCAAGTCTGCGACGCGGAACCCGAAGAGCACCTTTTCCTGTGGCTGGGCCCCGACCGCGCGCCGCTGCACTCCTCTGATTACATCGCAGGCCGGCGGAAGAATCCCTGTGTCCGGTCTCGCATGACAGGTGCCCGGCTTCCTCCTGTTCATGGTCAAAATCCTGCATGACCTTATATACCTAAACTATGGGATTTATGGTACTATACTATATTTGGGTCATGCAGGATTTTGTCCATCAACAATCCGAGCCTCCTGCTCCACCAAGAGGTGAATCAGGAGCTCGCGGTCCTCATGGGTCGCCTTGATGGCTCAGCCACAAAGCGCTGCCGCGGATGGCCCAAAGGCCACCACAGGGGCAACCTGAACACTTCAACGAAACTTGCTCTTGAGCCGTGAACCCTAAACCCCAAACGAATGCCGCCAAGAACTTATCGCAACAACCCTGTGCCCTGACCCTATGGCCCTATATAACAACAAAACCCAACAAAGCAAAACTTAAACCACTTCCTTCAATCCTCCCTGAAACCCGGGAACCTGAACCCCCTGAAACCTCAACGCGAGGCTACACCTTAAAATTCGTCAACACCCTTCCAGGGGCACTGAACCTCCGAGCCGAAGACAAGGCATGCTTCGAACCTCCAGAGACCCGTAATATAGGGGCCGCAATGATTAGAACAGGGTGTGAGGGGTATAACATACCATACTAGCAACAAGCAACCCAACATAGTGTTGATCATTTTTCAGGCCCCTAAACATATTTTTTGTTGAGCAACTGACCTTCGATTATAGAGGCTGATCTACGAAGAGGTTCGGCTTCAGGGTTCAGGTTCATGGAGGGTCTAGGGTTCATACAGAGTTTAGGGTCGTAGGGGGTTTCAGCGGATGTTTGATTGGATATCCTTAAGATTGCCATATACACAAACCCTTTAGGGCTTAGGCTGGCACCCTACCTAAACCTAAACCATCCTTAAACCGTTTAGGGTCTGTTCTTTATATTGCGTAGCTATTCATGGTATATTCATTCTTGATTCAAGGTAAATTCTGTATAATGTACCATATTAGAGCGTACGACATTATCTTATGTTCTATCATATTCTATTCCTTCTACTCTACTACATAGCCATTATCATATTGTACTAAACGGAAGTGCCAAGCTTTCTGAACCGAGCTTCCGTGTTCTCCTTGGACCGGACTTCACCTTGCACGCGGAGGCATTGTCAAGGGACTCCTCTAAGGGCTTTCCTGGGTTTAGGGCTTAGTTTAGGCAACATGTAGCTGATCGAAGCGAGCAAGTATAGTCTTTCGGTATCGCTGACATGAATCAGAGAAATACTACCCCCCCCCCCCCCCCCAACAAAAAAAAACACATATCCAAAAGTATCAAAAGCAAGCTTCAGAACCCACAACCCTTACCCTGAAGCCTAAACCCGACAGCACCAGTGGAGGACATGTTCCATGGGTGGCAGCGAAGCACCTGATGCCAGCCCCTTAGGCTCCAAGTAGTATGCACTTGGGCCTTGACTGGGTTCCTATATAGGCACACTTAGGGTTTCGGGTTTAGGGTATGTACGATACAGGTACATGGAGCCTCAGGGATGGCTGTAGGAAAGGGAACCTTCTTCTCCTGCGTTGCAGCACTGGATCTTGACTACTCTAGCCCGGAGAATCCCAACTCCCCTGCAATCCAAAAAGCTCTGCTAAAGCTCTGAAGCCCGAGCACCCAAGAAAAATCAAAACTCAACACCAGGACACCCGCTTGAGGTTCAGGGCTCCGGGGTATGGAGGGGTTTCGGGTTTGAGCTAGGCTTGAGGCATAGGGGTTAGGCATTAGGGGTGCAGACCCCGAAGACAAGAAAACCAGAGACCCTCAAAACACCGGACAAAACCATCAAAACCAAAACTGACGCCCGTCACCCGCCAGAGACATGAGACCTCTAAGAGTAAAATAACACACACGTATTTAGACCCTCTCAAAACCTATAAAATGGACAAATGCATTCGAAATCCCTTGAAACCGCTAGACAACCCAGAAAGCCCAAAGACTGGTTCCGAGCCCCCCGGCTGGGAATCTCCCAAGAATTCAAGAACTGATTCCACGACCCAGTTCCTGCTGACGTCGCATGTCGCATGCGGGTTCCTAGCTAGGGCTTGTAGGGTTTAGGCTTTATCGGCATTGTGGCTTTGGGTTTGGGGTTTTAGGATTAGGGTTCAGGGTTCAAGGTTTAGGGTTTAATTAACGGCTTCTGACAGGCCTCTGGTCTAAAAGGCTTCTACAAGGGTTCCGTAAAGGTTCGAACAGGTCTCTACAACAGGTCTACTAGGGTCTTGCAAGAGTGCAGAATCAAGACACTTTCGGTCTTGGGGTTTGGAACTTAGATTACTATAGGGGCCTCAAAACTAGAATAGGGTTTGAGGGTAAATGATACTATAACTATGATAAGGAATAGCCCCCCAAACAGTACTGGTAATCGTTTAGGCCCCTTTCTTAGGCTGGTCATTGTCTGCGCTGGGGATTTATGTGTGTGGGGTTCTCCGTTCGCGCTGTGCCGGCTTTAGGTCTAGGTGGTTGGTAGAAGGATGGGGCCATTCAGGCAGCAAAGGGGTGTAGAATTTGGGCCTTATAGAACGTTCAGATTTAAGCTTTACCAGAGCAGCTTGAAGTTCAGGGGGCCATTGAGTTTAAGGTTGAGCGGGTGGTCGTCTATGTTGACCATGCTTTCGAGGTCTCCAGCACTGTAGACATTGATCTTGTTGCAACCCTGTTCAGATTCCTGAAGACGGTGCAACGCTGCAAACCAAAACCCTAAAAGCTAAGCCTCTAAAACCGCAGGCACGTAGCGCTTGCAGGGGCTCCCGCGATTCCTGTGTAGGGTGAGTGCCATGTAGGTCCCGGACTATTACAGCTCATAAACGCCCTAAGTCCTATTTGACCCTATACCCAGCTGATCCTAAACCCTCTTACGAAACCCTCGTAAAGACCCTATGAATGTCCTTTAAACCCAAAAAAACCTAAACCCAAATAATCTCAAACCCTACTAAAACCCTATGAAAACTCTGATAGAACCCTATGAGCAGCCCTGTTAGAACCGTACTTGAATCCAGAATCAATACCCCTCAACCCTAAACCCAAAACCCCCGAATCAACAGCCCTCCAAGACCGGCCTGGCTCCACGGGAAGGTCGGCGAGCTTCGCCCGCCAGACCTGACCGAACTAAGGAACCTTTAAAGTTGAAGCCACGGGGCCCTTGTATGGGCCCCTTATATCCTGACCAACCGACTTTTTGCCCCAGATGTGCTTTTTGGGGGCCCCGGGGTCTATTGGGGTTCCTCTCATTGTTGATACAGGCTTCAAGGATTAAGGGGATTAGGGCTTTCAGGCTTTAAGGATTAAGGGGCTTAGGGTTGTTTGGGGTTTAGGGTTGTAGGGTTTTCGGATATAGCTTGGGTGTAGGAGTTTAAGGCTCATGCTGTTATCAGGACCTAGCATTAGCTTCTTCAACTTTTGGCGTCAGAGTTGTGGTTACGAGAGCTGCTGCACGAGCCTTGACAGGAATGCTCTTGCGTCTCTAACTCAGGATTACATGCGCGAGAGAGATAAAAGCGGCTGCAATCATCGGCACTGCAGCAATAAATCCATGATGGCCAACAGTCTCATGATCATTGCCATGACGATCCCCAGAAAAGCAGTGTCAGTGAGAACCAGCTCTGAAGCGCAACTCGCCTCTCCGATTTCAGGGCCCCTAAAGACAGAGACCTTAACACAAACCAGCCCCGAAACCTTAAACGCGAAAGCAGGAAATCCTTAGACACTGCATGCTAAAACCTTTCACCAATGAAGGTGAAGGCACCTCTCTCCCCTCAGAACAGCCAGTGCGGCAACCCTTTCCGTCACCGCTATGATCGTAATATCGCTTCTAACAAGTCCTAAAGCTTAAACTCCAAAAAACCCAAACACCCGAAACAGGAATCCTAACCTAACTATATTGAAAAGCCCGAGGCACCTCTCTTACCTCCGGATCCGCTTGTCGGAGGAAAGCAGCTGTAGTGCAGCTGTCTGTGGACGCGGCCTCACGCGCCTTGTTGAGAGGATGAAAGGCTTAGGATTCAGGCCGCTAGGGGGAGGTGTGGAATCATGTCATGCAGAGTTACGATGGGCTTTGGGTCTTGTGGGTTGGCGTTGGGGTTTGGGAGACCTGGTTGAGAGCGCATATCGGAGCTTTAAGATTTTGCTTGAGGTTTTGGGTTTTGGTGCAACTGTACTGTCCTCACTTAAGGACCAAAAAGGGATGGTACTACGAAGCCTTCAGGAACCACATTTGAGTTTTGGGATTTGGGGATCAATGCTTTAGGATGAGACCCTTGTATTAACAAGAGGATCCAGGTTATGGTTTAGGATTACTACTACTACTACTACTACTACTACTACTACTACTACTACTAGGGATATCAGGGTTTCGGGTGTGGGAATCTGAATGTCAGGTGCACTGAGCTGAATATGGGGTCGGTAACAATTAGAAAAGGGTTTTGGGGCCCGCTATACTAGAACTATAATAGGGAACCCCCCCCAAAATTAGTATTGGTAATGATTAAGATATGTTATACTATAGTTATAATAAGGAACACCCAAAATAGTATAGGTAACTAAGTAGGCCCCTATATTACGGCTTACGGAGTCGGGAAGCCATCTTCAGGCTTCGGATGGAAAAGCTTTGAGCTGACTTGGCCTTGCAAGGGTGTTCCTTTTTGGGTGTACCTCCAGGGTGTACCCAGCCCCCTAGAGAATCTGGCTTTTCATGGCTGTTACGAGGAAACCATAATGGTTCCTTAGGGTCCAGCTGGGAGCTAGGAAGCTACGACTTTTGCTTGCGGATTTCCGCTTTAGGCGGAGCACCAAGGCGAATCCACAAATCCCGAGCCTTGGACACATCGCTGGCTACTATAGGAGCCTAAAGCATTGCAGGGCTCCTGAGTATGCTCATCTACAGTCCTCAAAACACCAAGATACCCCAAGTAACCCGCATTACAGAACCCGTGTGGTGACTAAGGTTCCTATCGCACGTAAAGCCGCGCCCGTCAACCCTGAAACATCTGAAAACCAAGAATAAGACTAACGCCCAAAGCCTAAAGGCTTGAAAGCTCCAGCCTCACCGTAAACACCTAAACTTCTTCAACCACAAAAAACCCCAAACACCCTACATCAGTAAGCCTAAGGCCTTAAAATCCTAGAGCCCAAACCCCAAAACCCTAAACCTTGAAGCCATAGACCTTAACCTCTTGAGCCTGAGGACGTAGGGGCTTTGTTTTTTTGGGTGTCGGAGTCGAGATCTCCAACAACCCAAACAAACCAAAGCGGCCGCCAAAACCCAGAAACTCTAAACCCAACTCACGAAAGGTAGCCACGATTAATGCACGAACCGAATGAAGAAAGCTGATCAGCAGTTGCATGTTGAAACATCAGTACAAGTTAAGTTCGTATTAACATGTAATGACACAGCACAGACCTAAACCATAAATCCTGAACGCAAAACAACCCCAAACCCCAAAACCTTGATTAAACTCTAAACCCCAAGCACCCAACCTTAAAACCTGATTAAACCCTACGCCCTAAACCCCCAAACCGTCAACTCTATCCCCGTAAGCTCCAAACCTTAAAACCTGAATGAGTCCAAAACCCCAAAACCCTATACCATAAAACCTGATTTAACCCCAAGCCCTAAACCCTCAGCGCTAAAACCTGATTGAACCCTACCACAAAACCCCAAACCCTCACCCCAAAACCCTCAAACCAGATTAAATCTAAAAACTCAACCCTAAAAGCTGATAAAACCCTAAACCCCAAACCCTAAACGCCTTAACTCCGAACCCTAAGCCCTAAACCGCCCACTCCACCCACCTTCGCCTCGAAAATGCCCTGCGCATCGGAGGCCATCTCGCGAAGAAGCTTGTACGTAACCTTACGAGATCTGAAAGCGCTGCTGCATTTTCTAATTTAGGGGCCTTACTAAAAAAATAGAATAGGGTTTTGGGGTATATTCAACTTCAATTATAGTAAGCAGGCCCCAAAAATGGTATTGGTGCCTTCCAAGGGTTCTTGTAAGGATGGGTTCGTCGAAGATTTCAACTTGAGGGCTTTTAGGTTGGGGGTTTAGGGGTCTGCAAGAGCTCTTTCCTTTCCGCAAACACTCCAAATCATATAGTCCAGGTAGCGCAGTCTGCGCCGACAGCAGCGGCCAAGGTCCGAGTGCACCAATCCTCTGAAATTTTCGAGAGCTGCTCCTGCGATTGGAAGCCGAAGGAATTAGGGCTTAGGGTTTAGGATTTGCCAAGTCATTGACTTTCTGAGGCTTTCATTAAGGGCCTTGCGACGGCGCGGGCTGGCATAATTATAGGAGTTACGCTTCCGGGTATCAGGGGTATATAGGTTATGGAACCCCCTGGTAGACTGGCAGAACCCTTGCAAGCAAAGCCATCCAAAACCGAAGCCATGAAACCCGACAAACCCTAAACCCCCAAACCCTGTACCCCCCCAACCAAATCCCCAACACCCTAAGCCCTATACCATAAACCCTACATCCCAAAACCTAAACCCTGTACCCTAAACCCTAAACCCCAAACCTTAAACTCTATACCCTCAACCCTAAATCCTAAACTCCAAACCGTAAACTCTATACCCTAAACCCGAATTCCTAAACTCTACACCCTACACCCTAAACCCTAAGCCCGCCACCCCGAAGACCCTCCCGCCCAACCGGCGCCTTGATGTGCGAAGCCTTCATCTTTTGCTTTTGGGCGCAGTGGACGCTGCTGGCAAAGGTCGAAAGCAGCGCTTCGCCCCGCCTGTGATTAGGGCTTAAGATAAGGTTACTTGAAGCCGAAAAGCTTACATGAGCTTATTTGGGGTTTGTTCAGGCTCATAAAGGAGTTTATAAGTTGAGGGAGACCTGAACCTGAAAACCCTGTCTAGCAGCTTGCGGGTTCAGGGTTTAGGGTTCAGAATGGTTTAGAAGCACCTTAGGCGCCTGAGTACCAGAGCTCAGCATCCGAGGAAGAAGGGGAAAAGGGCCCACTGGGAGACGCAGATATCGTGCAATGAGCTTGAGTCATCTGCACACCATCCCCATGCTTGCCAAGCTCGAAATCCAAATGGTTCAACCAAATCTCGGAGCCTACACCCCGATACCACGATCTCCCTTAGACCCTAAGCTTGCCAGAAACCGGAAATCATAAGCTCAACACCTTCAAGGCTCGCCACCACCCTCTGTTCCCTTAACTCTCCACTTTAGAGTCCTGACGCCCTAAGCCGTCAACCCGCCCTGGAAGCCCGAAGCTGCAGCCCTGAGATCACCCGAATATACTCCGAGAACCCCTGTCGCGGTAGACCCTGAACCCTAAATCCTACACCCGAAACCCTAATCCCTGTACCCTAAACCCTAAATCCTACACCCGAAACCCTAATCCCTGTACCCTAAACCCTAATCCCTGTACCCTAAACCCTAAACCAGACGCCCAGCCTGTAGAGAAGCTCGCAGTTCCTTGATTGTGTTGCTTTCGGCTGCTGGGTCTGAGACGGTCTGAGAAGGTTCCACACGTTCTATAAAGGGTACCCTCTTATGGTACCCGATAGTACCTTTAAAGCGGACCCTACTATAGCACCCTGTAGTACCCTTAAGGCACGGGCCACAACGGTTTCACTGGCTTCTAGCTGGGTTGAGCAAGGGTCTGTTTGGGTCGCTTTTAAAGGGTGTCATCAGGGTTCTAGAGCGCTTCTATCGTGGTTCTACAATCCAAGAGAGGGTTTGGACTTCTTGGGCTGTCTTAATTCAGGGCTTCCGGTTTCTACAAGCATCTTCTTACAGCTTCCTGAGGGTTTGATGCGCCGTTTTCTATTAGGTTTTAAGTTGAGGGTCACTGTAAGCCTTTACTTATGGTTCCTTCATGGAAACATCGTCTACCGAAATTAGGATCTGGGTTCTTCCACGCTCGGCCCTAAACAATCTAAACTCTAAAGAAACACCTAGCTCTACAGAGGGCTGACTGGCTAGCAATAGTATCCTCTACTGTTGTCGCCCTGGAACCCGTGATCGTATAACAAAATTGCTCCCTCTACCTTCTCAGACCCGTGCTTTCCCACGTTTAGGGCACCCTATTCAAGTCTATAAACTCCTACAAACCCCTGTGCAGCAAATGGTCCAGCTCTTGGAATTCAAGAACACCGGCCGAGTTGAACCCTGGACCCTAAACCCTCCTCATAGTACATAAACTCCGTGCTCACCTGACACCCCTAAAGCCTAAACCCCAAAAAGGCTGACGGGCCGAGGCGCGTCCAAGGTCTGTTCGGATCAACCGCCTCCTCTCGGAGCTTTTGCTCCCAAACCGCTTCCAACCTTTGCTGTTGCGGGTTCCTCTTTACGGCTTAGGGTTCAAGGTCGGTTTGGGCTTGAAGCTTGGGTAAAGGGTTCCTTAAGGTTCAAGCAGGGTACTACAAAGGTTTCAGGATTTTGCAGGGCTTCGAGCCTGGTCTTTCGGTGCACCAGGGGGTGTACTTGGCTTGAAGTGAGGAGTCAAGAGTTTCATGGTTTGGTCTGTTCAGGTTTCCAGCCTGGGCGCTGTTGGTTTAGGGCTTCGGGTTTAGGGTTGATTAAATTAGTTAAAGGTTCAGGGCTTAGGGCTTCTAGGGGCTTAGACTTTAGGGTTTATTGTTCGGGATATGGAAAACCGCGGCACGGCCAAGGACCGACAAACAACCACCTCCAGCGCAGCACCGGGGACGCATATATATATATATATATGTTTATATATATATATAAACATATATATATATATACATATATATATATATATATATATATGCACACACACATACATACATACATACATTCATACCGACAGATGCGAACCCATGCCCTCGTCTGATGAAGATCGACGTCTAACAAAAACAGAAGGGCCTTAGCGATAAGCGACAAGATGGGGACACTCTCTATGGCTAGTTCCTCGAATCATGGACAACCTTCCCTCCACCAGGACGGTTCAACAGAACTGTGTCCTTTTTTGGGGGAAACTTCGGGCCTTGAGGACATAAATTCAACGCATGGATGGAAGGACCCTCGGACCTAATATCAGGGCTTAGGGCAAAGGCTTTAGATAGGGCCTACAGTCTAGGGTAAATGGCGGCCCTGGTAATTAAAACAGGGTTTCGGGGTGGTCTACGGCTATATGCCTCTCATGACAGACATCTCTATCCGAAGACGTAAACGCCACTTCCAAGCACTGGCAAAGCCCCAGCAGCCGAACGTGCGCGACACAAGCAAGATCTGTGCGTATCAGTGCGGCTCCTTATTAACCCTGAGCCCTTTTCGGATAGACAGACAAATAGATAGGTCAATAGATAGATGGACAGATAGATAGACAGATAGATAGTTAGATAAGTAGATAGGTAGGTAGGTAGATAGATAGCTAGCTAGGTAGGTAGGTGGGTAGGTAGGTAGGTAGATAAGTAAATAGGTAGATAGGTAGAGGGATCGATAGGTAGGACATGAATGATCAGAATATGGCTGTGGGACATATCATAGTCTTCTTCTTCTAAGGAACCCAATAGGGAATAGTAGTGGAAAGAACTTACGGCCCCTAGTCGGTTGTGAACAGAGCTCCGAACAGAGACATTGGTTAACAGAAATACAACCCCTCCACCGATGCTTCGAACGGAAACTATCACGCCGAAAGCTCCAAGCCCTAAACCCAAAGCATCCCAAAGCCCTATAAACCCGAAGCCCCAAATTCTAAACCTCAATCCCCAGACCCTCAAAATTGACGCCCCCCCCCCCCATTGAACGGAGGAGCAGTTGCGCCAAAGAGACTTTCGGCTTGCCAGTCTCTCTCCTGATCGCCGTGCCCCCCCGCCCCCCCTCTTCCCCGCCGTGACAGTGAAGGCTTCCAAAGGGTCCATATACCTACAGACGGGCCTCAAAGGGGGCTTGTGGCCAATCTATCTACTACATGCATGCACCCCTTCGGCTTTCAATCTTTGGGATTCAGGGTTGATGCCGGAGGTCGCTGCTCTCCGACTTGTTTCCTCCCCAAAACCAGAGCCATGTTCAACTTGTGCTTAGCTTGCCCTAAGGGTCCATGTGCCCAAATAGTATATACTTTGGCCCCCAAAGTACATATATATATATATACGGACTACTTTAAGGCCGAGGTATATACTATATGAGTACATGGACCGTTATTGTTTGTGAAGTTGAAGGCTTCAGGACTGAGGACATTCATGCCCCGAATCGCCCTGCAAAAGTGTCCGCCTCTGAATGCCTAGACCAAGACCAGAAACAGGTCCGAAGCCTGGACCCCAAGCCTCTAAAACCCCCATAAGCCCCACACCCTAAGAACCTCTACAACTGAGCCCTCAAACTCAACGGCTCTTGTACGCTACTCTCATCAAGAAACTTCTGCTTGACACTAAAAAAAACTACGTGCCTTAGGGAAGCCTAGGAAAAGGCACTACAGACCGCTATATCATAAAACTCTCTCGAACTCAATAAACCCACGCAAAATCCCCTGAAACCCAACAAGCGGCCTTGAGCCTGTACAAAACCCTGTAAAGTCCCAAAGAACTGCAGCCGCCAGGGGTCCGGTCTGCCAGGAATTGTCTCGCCTCGGCTGTCGTAGAGTTCAGGGGTTCAGGGCTTTAGGGCTTAGTGGTTCGGGATTTTTGGGGGTTTCAGGGTGCGCAATTTAGAGCTCTTGGGCTAAAGGTGCTGAACGGCTTGTCGGGCTCAGGTCATTTTAGGTTTTTCTCGGGGTCATGATGTAGACCCCTGAAGGGCGGGTTCTACTGAACCGACGGAATCTTAGATCTCTATAGCGTATAGCCCTATATCGTGACCCTAGTATGATCCTTTTTCCGGACGAGAGTTTTTGAAGCAGGGGTCTGCATGTGAAAACCGAAAATATCACGACACCACCCCCTCCTGGCAAGCAAAAACTCTAGGGCTGCGACCTGAGCTTTTGCATCATCTGCCAGGGAATTCAGCAGCCCTTCCGTGAACTCATCCAAATCCTCCACTAGGGGTGTTTGTAGAGTCACAAGGGTTGTGGGGTTCAGGGCTTGAGGGATCGGGGCTTCGGTAAGGTTTCGGTCTGCGGTGCAATGTATAGGGCCCGAATAACTCCAAAAGGGTTTGGGAGTACAGTGCGCAGCACTCTATCTATCCAAGAACCTGCAAAAACGGCAGCCCTCAAGCCTGAAGCCTGAAGGGTTTAGGGATTCGGGTTTCTAGGGTTTGGGGGTTTAGGGTGCGAACCTCTAAGCCCCAAATGTATTCCGCAGACTCTGATACAGGTTCCAAGTGAAGCTGCTGTCGGGAATCCGATGCGGACCCACCCGGCACAAGAACATCAGAACATCCCTTTAGGAAGCCTGGGCAGGAATGGGAAAGAGAGCGCCTGTAGGTTGCAAGCATGCTGCTGAACCCGTGAAGCTTAACCTCAATCTTGGACCGAATAAATCACAGGCGGGTTCCCATGCCCCCCAGCCTTATTCTCTTGAGACATCAAGACTGAAAGCCCGCAAAGTGTAAGTGTCTACAAACCTCTGTTGCTTCAGGGTTTCGGGTTTTTCAGGGATGAAGGATTTGGGACTATATGGTCTAGGTTCAGGATTTACATCCGGGTCCTGCCCCTGGACTCGTCTCTGTTGCCAGTTGATCAACGCACTGTCCAGCTCGACATCAACCTTGGATTGCATTTCGAGTCCGGCTGCTACTTCAACATCACCACTGAGGGTACGTAGATCCTCTAAACGCTAAACCCTAAACCCCTACACCCTACACCCTAAAACCCCAAACCCGAAACCCTAAAACCCCAAACCCTAAACCTGAAACTCTAAACCAAATAAACCCTGTAAGGCGTTAGCGCTAAACCCGACGTAGTTCTCCACCTATACCTACATCTTCACATCCCCGAACCCCAGTCCGACTCCTCAAAGTGACCCAAAACTGCATGCTTTAGGGGTTAGGGTTTAGGCCTTATAGGGCTTATCGTGTTTAGGGTTTTCGGGTTTAGGATTTTAGGGTTTCAGGGTTTAGGGCTTTATTTTCTACATCCCTAGATCCGTAAAACCTACACTTGAAAGCCTCGTGCTTTACTGCCCAAAGATGAAAGGAACTCGCTCGCTCGGCAGGTCTTCAAGCTCCGGGACTTGATGAAGGAGATCGTCCACCTCATTCTGATGGTCTTAACAGGCAGAATAGGGTTCAAGGTTTGCGGTCCACCTTATTCTGAGGGCCTTATAATAGCTGAACAGGGTGTCAAAGGGCAGCTTAAAAGGTTTAATAAGGGTCTGAATAAAGGGATTAATGATAGGGGCCGTGATATGATTTAGGGTTTCAAAGCCTGAACAATCGCGAAGTGGGTCTTGCGGGCCTCAACGGCTTGGGCTCTGGGTTTTCAGAGCGTGAGGGGCTCTAAGAATCTAGCATCGGGCACGCAGTGGAGCTATTGCTCCTGCAACCAAGAACTCTGAAACACTGAGTAAACCGAACTGAGAGCTCCTAAAAGCAAGAATCGAGACGGAGGTCTTCGAAAGACCCCTTAACCAAATGCACAAGCTCAGTGCTCTGCAGGGGCATTGAACCCGACCTGCAATCGTTCAACAACTTCCATGGAACCTTAATATTGAAACACGAAATGCCTTAAACAAACTCGTAAGGAATAAGGGAACCTGAAACTTCATGAAGACACAAAGAAAAACCGTAAACTTCAATCACTGGTCCCTAACAACCCTCAAGCGTAAACTTTCAACACTCGAAAAACCTAAGCCCGCACAGTACCCTGAAGGAACGAATCCCCGCATAGTACGTTGAAGAAACCCTTCAAGGAGCCTAGACAATTGCCGAAGCACCAAGGACCCGTAGGCAAAGGCAGCAGCTGACAATTGCTCCTGAACTATCATTGGAGGTCTTTTGGTCCTATCCCGGGAACTTTTGGAATCTCCTTGAAAGACTCATTTTTTTGATTTGCTCCTTGCTGGTATCAGGCTCTTTCAAAGAACTCCCTGAAAAAGGGCTCCGCCAAGGGTTGCTGGAAGGACGAGGCGATTTGGGTTTACGTTTTGGGGTGTTGGACATTTCCTGGTGTCGGGCTTGCGGACTAATCACTTCACCCGCTTACTTCAATAAACAGACCCGCAGGAATAATACCACTTTCCGGAATCCGGCCAAAATCTCGGAAATACTTGCTATAAACTTTAAACCCTACATACTTGGGGTTTAAGGCTTCCAGGAGAGGGGCCTGTTGCAGCTGAAAGTGCCAATCTTTCAATTCCTGGTTTTGGGCTTTCTGGTGTTCAGGATTTAAGTGTAACACCTCTACCTCCCCGGCAACCAAAACATGCAAAGCCCTGAGGCCTAAGACACCCAAAACCCGACACACCAAATCAAAAAACAACTCTCAACCGGAGACCCTCATTGAAACCGAAAATTTCCTCAGCAAAACAGCCTAGACCCTATCAGCCAGAAACCTCAAACCCTGAACCCTAAAACATCAGCCTGCGCCCTAGTGTAGTAGGAGTCATACTCAGAATGAAACCCCGCACACTTTCTGATTATTGAGGCCACTATGTCATACAGCCTTTTTGGAAACCCTCACAAGAAACCTGACAAGGAACCCTATTCAAGTTTTGCAGGCCGTACCACGTGTCGACGGCCTGTGCCAATTACTGAAGACTTTCCCTTTCCAGTTTGACAGCAAAATTCACACGCCGTGCGCACATGTGTGTGGCTGACTCACTTAACTTCGCCAAGCGGGCAGTCGGGCCCCACAACAGCAACAAAGAAACCAGCCAGCGATGAACTTCTTCCCGCACAAAGGACACATCTACCAGACTCATCTGCTGCTACGGCTTGAGAAGCAACGTCCTGGGCTTCACTTCCTTTTGAGGGCTTTGTTGAAGCGCGGCGACCACTGGACCCAAGGCACAGTCGATTGCACGACGCTTCTGCAAACTGGTTGGGACATCATAATGCGTTTGTAGAACTGCCACCGATGTCCCGGCCTCGGATAACAAACGCACGCAGGTTTTCTGATGCACGCCAAAACGATTTCAGAGAATACATGTTGCCGTCCATGATTCTCGTCATGTTTCCTTCATGCAGCGATGTTTTCGACAGCTTTGCACGGAGCCCTGCAATATGCCCGCTCTGGAATCGGAATGTTCCAAGCATGTCACTTGACTTTGCCGTGTGGGCAGTCGGACCCCGCAAAGCCAGCAAAAGAGCCAGCCAGCCATGATCTTCTTCCCACACTAATTATCTGCTGTTACTGCTTGAGAAGCGCCTGCAGCAGGAGGACTCAGGGCAACGTCCTGGGCTTCACTTTTTTTTGAGGGCTTTTGTTGAAGCCCCGCGCTTGTCGCAAAACGCTTCCGCAAATAGGTCGGGACATCATAGTGCGTTTGTAGAACTGCCACCGATAGAATATAGATGTGGTAGAAGCTATGATAGCCATGGTAGCCGCGGCCTCGGAAAGCAAACGCACGCAGGCTTTTCTTAAATTGTCTGCGTTCCGATGCGCGCCAAATCGGCTTCCGAGAACACATGTCGCCGTCCATGATCCCCATGTTTCCTTCCTGCAGCGATGTTTATGCCCGCTCTGTAATTGCAATGTTCCAAGCATGGCGCTGGGTCGACAGCTGCGTCCCAGGAAACAAATACGTATCTGTACAGCTAAAGCTTGAGCCCTCGTCGCCATGGAGTGCCCCGAGCCGCCTAAGAGGCTCTCTCTGTATACAATCACCAAACAACGATGCAAAAGACCTGTCCAAAGGCCGCAGCCCACCAAGCAGTCTTGCCGTTGAGATCATCAGGGATGCACACTTTCGAACAAGCAAACTTGACAAAGCGGCAACACCCATGAGACCCTGCAGGACCGGCTACAGTTAGCTCGGTCGGCGAGGAAGAGATGGACTAGGGTGAGAAGCCCGGCCCTAGGATAGCCGCATCCACAGCGCAGCAAAAAGGGCAGTGACTGTTCAGCGTTGGGCGCCTCGGTGCCTTCAATAACAATACAACCCAGCCGCAAACGACAACGATCAAGCTGCACTGCTTGTCTAGGCAAGGAATGTCGTGAAATTTTGCAGCTAAACTTACTAGTGCAGCCGCCCTTATTGCGCCACGTGAAGAACCTGCACTGCCGAAGGGCGGCCTTTTTCATCTTCACGAGGCAGGCTCGGGAGCAGGCCCAGCACGCAATTCACGCAATGCCAGGAACTACACGTTCTTTTCTTTGGTTGGGCACACGAACAGTACATCCGACGACTGGCTTGAGAGCAACCTGTCGACCACTCTTGCTTTCCTGGCTTCTGCTTTCAAGGCTTCTTTGGATGGTTTCAGCTTCTTTGGGGGTTTCGGAAGTGCCACTTCCGAAATGCCCCCCGGATAAATGCCCAAACTTCCACGAGAAAGCCCACAAGCAATTGTCTGGACCTGCACGCTTCCAACAAGCCTACCAGAGGCCTACTCCACAAGCATTTTTCTGAACCACATGCCTACTTAATCCACAAAAGCAGAGCAGAGATGTCTCTTGGCCAATGTGGCCCCCGATGCGGCAAGCTTCGTCACGCATCCTGTGTTTCTGATTCACGGCCTTCTCTGTGCCTGGCCGGTTCTTCTAGTCGCTCCTTTTCGTATTACAAATCACCACGGACTGCGCATTGGTCGAGTGTCACAGGCGTCATCTTCGCAACGGCGCAAAGGCAAAACGCACGGTGAAACATACAGGTGACACACGCACACAACTCCGTTCGAACGGGGTTGCTTCTGGACTGCCATTACTCTTTGTCTATGAAAAACTTGAGCCAATTGCTGCCGTTACTTGTTGCTGTTTCAAGAGCAAGACACCACAAAAGTGAAAGTAGAGATGAACGCACCCCCCAACTCAAAGTGACAAGTTTCTTTTATTGGTAAGGGAGACGATGAAAACCTGTCAGAACAACTAGGAACGGCCCAGGCTCCTGAATACGAAGATCTTCCGCCGAGGATGGCTCCTCACTTGGGATTCGGCTCGAGTTCGGGATCTGGTGGCTAAGTGTGCAAGGGTCAGTGTGAACCAAATTCCCCTGGATTCAGGAATACACCTTCAACAACAAGAGGCTGCAAACCCTACGCCCTGAACATAATGCGCTCTCTGGGTATACCAGTCACAAGAGGGATTGCTTCGGGTTTTGCATTAGAACGGTCAGGTTACGTGTTGAGTGAAGTATGTAACTGTGCACGTACACTCGAGCACTGCGGATATATGGCCTCTTGACCCCAAAGTTGCAGACTTGGAGTCGTAGGGGTATGTAATTCTGAATGTACATGAGCTGACTAGCTGTGTGTCTGTATATATATATATATATGCACACATACGTATGTACACACATGCCTAGATATGCGCATACATTACATACGTGCACATCGAAGCAACGATACGAGCTTCCTGTTCTTCTACAGTCATGAACAATGCTTAAACGGGACAACATCCCAAAAGTAGAACCTCGACGCATTCCACAGACTATGCGAGCGGCAAATTCATATAGTGAATCCTGGGACCCGGTTCTCGAACCAAGCGAAAAGCAATCCCGAACCCTGCATGCTGACCGAACTCCGACTTTTCAAGCGTTTGACAACCTGAAACATGCAACATAGAAGCAGGGATAAACCTGCAGAAATACACGGCGATGGCCCGAATGCGCAGTCGCAATGCCAGCGAAAAGGGGACAAACAAAATTCAAAACTGAACCCCGAAGCTTAACCCTAGGATATACCACAGCACAAAGGCCTTTGCGGCACATGGAAGCAGCTCGTCCACTTCGACGAGCCTTGTGTTGAGAACAAGTTTGGAGGTTGATCCACTAGAGGGGGAAGACCGGGTAAGACTAGGTTGCTGGGGTATACTACTCTCAGAGCTTGAGGCTTTAGGGTCCCAGAGTTCACGAACTCAGGAGCGGGCTTAGGTTTAGGCTTGTGGGGTTCAGGTTTCCCTTGAGGTCACATTGCGGACAGAACACTGAACGCATGCAAATGCATGGTTAATGTAAACTGCAGTAGAAAAAACACCTTCAAGGCGCGCAAAATCGTGTGCTCACCTTGAGGCCCCCTACTCATACGGGCCACTTGATTGATAAGCCTACACTGAAAGCTTAACTTTTCTAGCAGCCCAAACCCTTATGAGATGCTAAATGATGCTCACAGACTTACATAACAGTGTGGGCGCTCGACCCTGAACCCTAGACCCACCCAGGCCCTCAACCCTAAACCCATGAATTATGGTCCTCCAACTTCCTTATCCCAACCGAAATGCCACATCTCAAACCCCAAAGCCCCGAACCAAACACAGGAAGAACCTGTTGCACTCAGAAGCAACCAAAGCATCCCCAAACGGTACAATTACAACGCACCCTCAAAGCCCTACAGACCCTAAGCCCCGAATCCTAAGCCCGAAATGCCAACTAGAGACTTCGAGACGAACATCTCTCCAGCCCCACAGCCACTACACATAGAACCCTTACAGCAAGGAAGCCTTTCTGCAAGCCTTGAAGGCACCCTTGAAAGGCCCACTTAAATGCAGTGCACCACCCCCTGCATCTCTGAATGGCCCTGCGTCCTCCTACCACTCCAGAGTCGAAACAACAGCATCCTAAAGTTTTAAACCCCGAAGAACCTGAAGCCACAAGCCCTGAACCCTCTAGCTACAGTTCCCTTATGGATTCCGTTAAGGCAGCCTATTCCTTAAAGAACCCATCCTATCCAAGCGGCTCTTCGTCCTCTGGGAGCCACTCAATGGAGCCACCCCGGGCCCAATCTTCCTGCAGGGGTGTTTCTTGGGAGCATCTGACTGTAGAGCTTTGCAGCTATAGATGGTCCCTGGTTCGATTCCGGGTGGCCGGATTTGCATTGACTTGAGTCTTGCTTGCAGTGTTGGTTCGAACATATTTATTGCTCCTTCCCAAGTGAGACTTTTGGGAAGCAGATGTCTAAGAAAGTGGCCGTATAATGGCTTCAAGACATGTTCTATACCGTCTAGAGTCTAGAAAGGCTCCGTGCGGCTGCTGGATGGGGAGGGGGTGGAAAAAGGGTCTATATTATAAGGGTTTCTTTAGCGGGTTCAGATGGGTATAGGGGCTTCGTAGGAGGCGGGTACGTCGGCATTACAGCTTGGCAGACTTGGCGCCCTTTTCACAACAACATGAGCAGTCTCCGTATTGAAAGCCCGACACTCTACAAGACGGGCTATTAATCATCATTCAGCATACGGTTTTGGGGTACATTAGATTATGCGATAATTACTTACTTGTTTGAAAACTACAGTGTTGTACCAGTATTTATTCCTCCGACCACGATGATATCCACCGGGTTCTCTGGTCTCGGGTTAGGAAATCCGAGTCGGAGGCCTATACCCTGAACTTTCCGCCCCTGTGCGCCTTCCACTCGCTGGCCGTCCCCTGCCTGTTTCGCAAGACTTCTAAGTTGAGGGTCCGCGGTTTTGGGTTTAGGATTTCGGGCTTTCGGTTTTAGGGTTTAGGGTTTCGGTTTATGGTTTTAGGGTTTAGGGTTGAGGGTCCAGTCTTGCGGATCTGAGAGACTAGTGCGTATCGGCCCCAAACCCTCAAACCCTCAACTTGAACCCGTAAGCCTGTTGACGCGGTCCGAACCGCAAGAAGCGTCGTGCAACTCTTTTTGATGCAGCCATGAAAGAGCGGTCATACAGGAACAACAGCAAATGCTGACACTTGAGGCCCGTCGTCGATATCGGAAAGCCGGAGGTGGTCTATCGTTCCTGTATTCACTCGAAAAGCTTCCAACGCCTTATGCTTTGCTGCCTCTGACCCTTACCCGCCTTAACTTTAGTTTCTGGTAGAGACGGATCCAAGATAGCATCCAAGGCGCATGTAGCTTTCCAATAGCGGCTCATCATCGCTGCTTGGGACTTCGACGGCCTCGTTGGATTAGACATGAGAGACTACAACACGCGGGTCCTGACTATCGAGGACCCCATAAAAAGCTCCATAGAGCGTGGGAGCCATTGACCCAACAAACATTCTGAAGAATTCCAGGACTTCCCGAAAATACACCAGCCCTAAGCCCTTACTAAACCCTAATCTCTAAACCCGCCTGTGGTGGCGCAGGTCTCGCGAGATCCTCTGCAGGCCACGGTGCTCTGTAGGGTTGAATCCAATACTTTAGACGACGTAGGGCTTTCAGGCTTTAGGGTTTAAGGTTTAGGGCTTTCAGGTTTCGGGTTTATGGTTTTGAGGTTTAGGGTTTAGTGGGTCTGAGCAGGGTTTAGTAGGGTTCTCGCAGGGTTTAGGAAACATGGTGGTTTAAGTCGCAGGTGTTGGGGCTTGCCTGCGAGACCTGCAGAAAATCGGGGACTCGACATCACGGACCCCATTTAGTTTAGGGTTTAGGGTTAAGAATTGTATTTCGACCCTAAACAGTAGGATACCTATGATAGTACATCTCCTGTTCAGAAGCCACGTAACACATTGCTTGCAGCTACCTGTCTTGCCAATTAAGATACCCAAGAATCTGAGGGTCCAAATTCTACCTTCGGGCTACCTTCGGGCTTAAGGCTTAAGCCTGCAAGGACTCGTACTTCGTTCTTTTGCACTGCTTTCGGCGCCTAAGGGAGAAGCCTGCGCACTGAACACTAGACCCTAAACCCTCCACCCTAAACCTAAATCCTAAACCCTCAATCCTAAAGCCTAAATCCCAAAGACTTCAAGAGTTGGGAGTGGAAGCTGGAAGCTACTTTGGCCAGACTCATGGCCCGAGACGTACCCAGCCTAGGAATCATCGCTGACTTCAAGCTTTATCAATTTAAGCTTTAAGCTTCAATCAATGGTATTGCTTATAATCTCTAAACCCTAAACCCCGAACCCTAAACCCTGAACCCTAAACCCTGAACCCTACACCCCTGAACCCTAAGCCCAGAAAAAACCCTGAAGCAACTGCGACCTTCAACTCCCCACAAACCGCTGCAGCTCGAAACCTGGAGGCCTCATGGGAGTTTCCGAAAATTAGGGGTACCTTATTTGGGGGTCCTTATAATAAGGATCCTACTATTTAGGGTACTATGTTAGGGTTGGGGGTCCTTATAATAAGGATCCTACTATTTAGGGTACTATGTTAGGGTCCCCTATTTTCGGAAACCCCCTCATCGGGCAATCTGAGCGTTAAACTCGGAACGAGGGCCTAAACCCCAATGTTGGGGGCCTCAAGAACCAGGCAAGTGTTCTGGGGCCCAGCATATGACAGTTCTTATAGTAGGGAGCCGTCAGGAAAATTAGTGGCAAATTCTTCGAGCCTCTACCGGCAAGCCTGGCGATAGCCCCACAACCGGGAAGCTCTAAGACGCGAGCCTCACATTACCCAAGACCTCAAGGGGTCCCTTGAAATCCGAAATCCCAAACCGCAAATTGCTGAACGAGCCTGTTTCGCCAGGAGCTCCTTCCAGTACCTCCGCACCTCGTTCTCGGGGTGTTCCTGAGGGCACTTTGTGTAGGGTGCATAAATACAGAGGTTTAGGGTCTAGGGCTTCGGGGTTTAGCCTTGGTTAAAGTTCAGCCACCCAAGATCCTACCACCCCAGCTGCCAGCTGTAGCCCTAGACTGGAGAACGCATACTGCGGTTCGGAGAATGGAAAGAGATGGGACAGTGGGTTCTTACTGCAAGGAACTCTACAATAGAACCTCCGAGTCAAGACTAAGAAACCTTTTGATGCAACTCTTCGTTAAAGAACGCTAGTGGGTGTAGAACATTACGCGGGGCCTCGTTCAGTACAGGCATGGATGTCGCATGAAGGAAGGACTTATGCTTGCCCAAAGTCCGCATGCAGGACTTCGCGACACCAGGCGTCCACGTGCTAAGCCACTGCACGGCCTCCTGCGGGACGCTCCCGTGCCTTTGCATGGTGCATCGAAGTTCTGGAGCGCCAAGATGGCCTTCACCATCGGAGTGTCACCCTCTTCGCGGATTTCGCCAATTAGCACGGTCCGCTCCTTACGGACTCCTCGGAGTTTCGGCGTGGCATCAAACTCCTTGCAGTGGATACCAAGATGCTCGGCAAAACGGCGGTCGCCATCGCAGCGTTTGTCCTGAAACTGCAGTGCCATGTCACCTGCGTCAAAGCCTCCTTGTGACCTTGAACCTATACCGTATAAACTCAGCAACAAGACCTTCTCATGATCTAGACCCTAGACCCTGAACCCCAAACTTTACCCTAAACCCCTAAACCCCCAAACCCTAAACCCTAAGCGCCTAAACCCCCAAACCCTAAACCATGAACCCGGCCCTAAACCTTATGTCAGGGCCTCCTGTGGAATCCTCGACTCTCAAGAGGACCTCTCTCTGACTCAAATCGACCATCCGAGCCTGACGCCAACCCCAAACCCAAACTTTGGGCCCAGAGGGTCTTGGCATCGAGGTATGTGTGTTGCGCAGGGTTATTATAGGACTTCTACAGGGGCCTCACGGGTCTCATGAATAAAAATCCGCAAGCTAAACCTGAAGCCCCAAGCTGCATATCTAAACTTCACCTTTATGAGCTCAACATGCCATAGGGGCTTTGGGTTTAGGCTTTCGAGGTTTCGGGCTTAGGTGTGGGGAAGAGGTCAGGAGCCCTTCTGCCCGCAAAGCCTTAAATCTCCACTTTTTTCAGGTGTCTTGAACTGAAACACGACTAAGAAACTCTGTATATACATATATATATATATAATAAGTATATATATATATATATACATATATATATATATATATATTATGTTTATTTATTTATCTATGTGGAGAGAGAAAGGGAGAGAGAGAGAGAGACAGAGAGAGAGAGAGAGAGAGCGAGAAGTGCCTTAAGGAGATGTTGCTAGTAACCCTTCAGACCCCTTTGCTAGCGACGGCCTCTTCGAGAAAGAGCTCTTCTGCCTGCGCTATCGGGAGTTGGAACCAAGTGGGCTCGGAACAGTATTAACACTAACAGCAATAACAATAATCACAATAATAGTAATGCTAACGATAACAATAACGATAACAATAATACGGATAACAATGATAATCGTACTAGTAAGGGTAATACTAAAAAGTCATAATCATACCAATAATAAAGGGCGTAGGGGAAGTGGGATTTGAGGCTTGGGGCTCTAGGGCTTCAGCTTAAGGCTTTGTTGAAAACACAAGGGGCCTTGCTTGGCTTAGACGGCTTCTGCTTTGACAACAGACAGCGTTCATGACCCAAGCCCTCCCAGCCGTTAGTTGTGGGGTCTCAGGGTTTAGGGTTAAGTGCGAATGTTGAATTAGTCTGGGCTTCTTCAAACTATGGGAGAAAATGAGGTAAACCCCAAACCTCTAATCCTCAAGCTCTGAACCCTAATAATCCCATCATCTAGGAGGTCAGTGCGTCAAGGATCCTTGTATGGATGTTACTCAGTTAATACTCTGGATAAAGATTCGGGTCCTCTATTTTCTGAGCCGACCCCGGCGAGAAGAACGGTCCAGATTCACACCACACAAAATTGGAACAAGGTCGGCCCACCTTAAAAGTTAAACAAGACGGCGAGACCGGTGCATCCTCTAAGAAGGGTTAAAGGTTTAGGCTTTGTACCGATGTCTTACTTCCCTCCAACAGCATTTCGCAGGTAAACTCTCCCTTGTCTGCCGGTCTATTCACCTTTACAGTCAGTTTGCAGAACTCCCGTCAGAAGCCTACATGGTTCGGGCGTGAGAGCAACTTGAAAGGTCTAACATGCGAGACTTCATGACTAGATGGCTAGATCAATAGGGGTCTTCGGGGATATGATCGTGCGTGGATGTAGGGACTGGAGCATACCAGTACTACTAACTAATGAGACTTCTGCATTTAGTTCCTCTGCAACAGATCACGAGTAAGCTCGAGAGCTGTGCAGGCCAATACTTCACGGAGGTCGCCGTTCAAAATCGCAGTTCTTGTTGAATCGGACTGGCAGGGTCCTAGGCATTGGTGGTATGAACGGGGTGCTCATCTACAACAAGTAGAGCAGCACCCTTGAATGCAAAGCCCCGGGCCACCTCGGAACACATGTTCTGCAGCAGCGAGTCCGTGACAATGGGTTCGCCTCTCAGCTCCTCAGCAGCCCGGGTTGGAACCCGAAGCTAAACCTTAAACCCTCCCAGGCAACTTCTCAGAACAGGGCTTTGGCCCAAACCACTGTCGAACTATATGAGCTTCCCAGGCAGACCAGGGAATGACATTGAGTGGAGCTGGAAGAGGACTTGATGGGGGCCTGACTGTCCTTGATATTTGCTGCAGTGCCTGGATCTTAAGAGTCCCCTGTTGAGGCTCTTCTTCTGCTGTTCAGCTCCCACAAGGCAACGGCAAAATAGAAAGGCCCCCAGTAAGAAGGGTGCTGCAGGGTAGGGCTCAGAGTTTAAAGTTCAGACTAAACCCAAAACCCTCTCAAAGCCTCTGTGCACTTGATGGTGGCACGGTGCTGCGAAACATTGCTAAACACATCTACACCCTAAAGCCTGAAAAACCTACACCCGACAGAGCCCTACTGCGCAGAAACCCTGAAAACTCACCCACCGATCCCGAAGTCATGAAGTCGAGCCTGGGAACTCGAAACCCTAAACCCTAAACCTGAAAATCCTAAACCTTAAAAGCCCTAAACACCCTAAAAAACCTTTTCAGAACCTGAAACGATCTTAAAACCTCAAGCAACCTTAAAGCCCTTAAAGCCCTAAACCTGGAAAACAAACACAGCCATGAGCCCCGGATCCCACGCCGTGATGGTCAGTACTATGGCGAGTGTTCTTTCGGGAATGTGGGGATTTAGGGCTGAGGGTTTCGGGGTTGACGGCTTAGGGTTTAGGGATTTAGGGGTTTAGAGCTTAGGGTTTAGGGATGTGTGGGTTAGGGTTTGGGGAGATTTAGGGATTTACGGATGTTGGGATTAGTTAGGTTTTAGGGATTTAGGGATGTTTGGATTAGGAGGGACTTAAGTTTGGGGATTTAGGGTTTAGGAATTTAGTGTTTAAGGTTGAGGGTTTTCAAGTTTTAAGTTTTAGGGTTTCAGGTTTAGGGTCTGGGGTTTGTAGTAGCCAATGTAATGACCAATATTTGTCCTCAGGGTTCCTCATGACAAGTATACTAAAAGAGCCCGAAATCACGGTTCCTATTGCGGGTATTGGTCTTACTGCATGTGTGTTTGCAACTATTGCTGCTACTAGCACGGTCATTATATACGACGATAAACATTCACTAGTATTCTGAGACACCCGTTCAGAGCTCGCAACACTCCCTAAACCCTAAACCCTAACCCTAAACCCTGACGGTTGTTGGGCTACAGGCATAAGCCCTAAACCTAAATTACTAAACCCCAAAACTTATGCCAAACCAAAGCTGAACCCTAAACCCTAAACCCTACCCTGAAACCCTGAACCCCAAAGCCCTAAACCTAAAACCCTGAAACATCCGAAAACCCGAGAGCCGCATCGCTCGAACAGCCAGTCAGTTCGGGCACCTCAGAGGCCCCAGGGTTTAGAGTTTAGGGTTTAGGGTTTCGTAACTTAGGGAATCAGCCCTAAACCCTAAACCCTAAACTAACCCAGTCGGGGCACCTCAGAGGCTTCCTCACACCAGGCTCTCCCCACCTCTTGCAGAGCCTCACGCAAGCTTCCTCTCTTGCCTCGCCGGAAGTCGGCGCAGAGGTGGGGAGGGGGGGTGTTGTGTCAAAGCTTTTTGGGCATTTTGTTTAGCAGGGCTTTGAACATATTCATGCAAGTTGCTGCAATCTGTAATGCCTTCTGGAATATCCAGCTTGAGGCTTTGTTTGGATGCGGTTTTCTGCTGTTCTCGGCGTAAACATACAGGTGTGCCAGCATCATGGTGCTTTGGGACTTATGAGCGTAACATGCCTGGGTCATGGGGCTCAGGCTACGAAGGTTTTGGAATAGGGTTTGGGTGTATCTGGCAGGTACTTATATATCGGGGACTTTCCGGGAACTACCATCTGTCAACTCAGGAGGAATCGGGTTGAAGTCCATGCTGTGCTATTGGGTTTGACGCTCGGAGGTCTTCGTGTAGGGTTGCGCAGGTTAGGGTTTTATAGAAGGGTATAACTTTCGCCACGGCCCCCACCTCCTTTCCGGATCTTCACCAGGTCCACCAGCAGTTGCTCCCCAAGCTCCCGGAGCTTCGCATGCTCCGTCCATTCCATCGTTGTCGGCGGCGGAACTTCTTGGAGCGGCTTCGGGGGCTCGGGATGCAACCACAGGGCTTCCAAGGCTTCCCGGAGCTCTGCAGCCTGGAGGTTTTGCCCTCGTCTCAGAAGGAGGGCTTGCGCCTGATCTGCACAGTGGAGTAGCCTTGGCTTCTCCTCACTTTCTACGGAAACAACAGAGGCCTCCTGCCATTTCATCTTCCGGTCTGCCAGCTGATACTCCAACTCCTCCGGCGAATCGTGGCCCCAGCGGTGCGAGGAGAAGACTTCCAACAAATGATCCACCAACTCCAGGTAGACCTTAGGTGACGAGTTTCCGTAAGAAGTCTCTTGCACTCTTGTGCTAGCGCAGCTTTCTACGACACCCCCGTCCCAGCCCTAAACCCTAAACCCAAAAAACAAAGCACACATTCCTTCAAATCATCCTGCAAGAGTCTGTTGCGGCAGGTTTGCTCGGGATCTCCGCATCCCTTTCTGGCCTAGGCTGGCCCCTTGAAGCCTTTAGAAATAGTAGTAGTAATTGTAATAATAGTAGCAATTATCGTAATTTTAATAGTATGAACCGTAAATAGTCCAAAAAAGGAAAATATGAAATGTCCCACAGGCCTACCTAGGTTGAACCTTTAACCCCGCTGAAAATGTTCGTAAATCAGGCCTTCGTTTCCAGGCCCAATCAGGGAAACAGAAAAAAGTCCCAAAGGCCTACTACAGGGGCCTTAATAATTAGAATAGGGTTTTGGGGTCCTTCCAAAATAAAAAAAACACAAGCAACTATTAGTTAGTAATTATGTAGGCCTCTATAAAAACCTAGTGGCACCACTTTGACTTCCAACTTCGCCGGATGCCTCTGGTCCACATCCTCGGCCTCGGCTCTGCTATGGGGAAGGACCCACCAATAAAAGGGGCCTGAGCAATTACCTATACTATTTCTGACTTGTCGGGTATCATGGGG